TCATTCTGATCCACGCAAAAATAAAAATAATTGTTATCACCAATTAAAATACGCTCTCCCAAATTTAATCGGTGACAGTATGATAGACTAATATTATATATAACTCGACTGTTCACGACCTACTTAAAATTTCCCTTTTTGAAAGTCTGTTTTTTCTTTTATTTTATAATCCACTTTAGTTACTATTACAATATTTTACAAAAATGTTGATGCTTGTTTTATTAGGACCGTCGACGCTCGCACGCGAAATTGTGTACACTTGATATTAAAATTTTGCTATGTAAAAACACCTACTGCACAGTGCATTTTTTTCAAGATGACAATAATAAATGTATGTGTATAGTACATGGGCGCAACAAGCAGAAAAGGGCCCATTAGCATTTTTATCAATTTGGAGTTAATATCACGTCTACCTCAAAAAATATTTTTAGCGTTGAAGCATACCCATTTAGTTTAGTTATACACTCATTACAAATTACATATGGAACTTTGTATTACCTAAACAACAACAATAATATAAATGAAACAATTTTTTTTATCTTAGCATCAATTAAAAATGTTTTGGAGAGGTGATAATGATCAAAAGAGGAATTATATATATATACATGGGGAAAACACATGTGTGTTTTATCTGACTTTTGTTCATTGTCGACAGATGTCGATTTATTGATCTTGTTGTTATGATTTATTTCTTTTTTATGGTAAACTATAAACTTCTGATTTTCGTAAAAATTATTTTAATAAAATATTTGACAAAAAATTTTTCATTTTGCCCAATATCTCTGAAAGAAAGATTCTAAATATTTTGCAAAAAATAAATAATTTTAAATCTATGGATATAAAATAATAATGATATGATTATTATTATATTTGTTGAAATTTCTAATCTTTAATATATTTGTGCGAGAGCGTGTGTAAATGTCCTCTTTTATTCCAAGTCAATTATCTTTTTTTCGATCCAAGATTTTGTATTGAAACTACTTTATCAGCGAGAGGTGATGATGATGGTTGATAATGCCCACTTTATAAATCTCGTCCAAGCTAAAAATTACAAAGTATATACATGAATAAAAAAATTCTACCCCAGAAAGAAAACTTTCTACCCAGCCATTGTCTTAACGAAAGAAGTATCAAAGTAAATAAAATTTGCTCTAATTGCTCAACAAGTTCTTCCCAGTCTTCTTCTATTTCAGACACGTTAGCAGTTGGATCATCATCGTCATTATCATTATCTGTAATGTCTTGTAGTAGAAGGGCCAACCTTCTGAATTAGTTCAGTCAGTATACTGCCACAACAAATTGATCTATAAAAAATATCACTCGTGGGAATGTTATTAGATGATATACCTTCTAATTCGTCTGTTGGATATCGTTGGATTAGTATGTTCCCATCTATAGAACGAGACATTGTCAAGAAGAAATTGTCGGATTAATGAAATCAGTAATTTTTTGGATTTATATTAAACATTATCAATCGTAAACAAATTTTATTATTATTATTGTAAATTTATTGATATGTATATATTACAGATAAAGAAATTATAATATATACATATATATCTATATATTAAATGAATTCTTTATGTATACATGTATCTATTTATTTACACCTTTTTTATCATGTTTCCCTCGCTTACACAGCAATTTAAGACTTTCAATATTCAAACTGAGCATTTCCAATAAAAATTGTACTTGAAATTTTATACCTGAACTAATGATAGTATTCTTCTTGATTGATTCTTGCAAATTGTTGATTTTGTTGACCACTGTGTTATTAATCACTAATTCATATTCTTCATCATCTAATCCACAAATCATCATTATTGAATCATCACCGCTATTCCTTCTGGTATTGCGGTTATTATTAATGCAATTATTAACTCGTATGATTTTTGAAGAAATGTAACTTTGAAGGATCCAATATAGCATATAATAATGTCTCCATGCTAAATCAGACATAATATCACCTTTTTTGGTTTTTTTAAATGGAATTGAATCAAAATAAACATTAATTATTTTTGATAAACTTAATTGTGATTTTATCAAGTGTCGATAATTACGACCAGCCGAGTTAATATCTGCATTGGATAATGCTAAATCAAGCAACTTTGCTTTAAAGGTGTTTGATATTAAAGTCTATAAATAAAAATCAAGATTATTTATTAATAAAGCATAAATAAATAAATGAATAAATAAATAGAATATATATACATCTACACCAAACTCACTTGAAGAAATAATTGGAATTTTGATGAATCAAGATGCTTGGATTTCAAGTATATCTCAGTTGTCAAAGTTTTAGAGCAAATATGTTCAGAGTATGAAAGAATTATCATCTAAAATTATTAATCAAAAGTCTTTTTATTTTTAATATTCAATTCTAAATAAAATTAATTCTGTTAATTTAAATTATAAGCAAAAGCAGACTTTACCAAATCTAATAATCTTTGGATCATGTTTACAAAATCTTTAGATATTTCATCTTTGTCAAATATTGAAATTAATATATCAACAGGAGTTTTAATGTTTGTTGTACGTTGTTGGGCACCATAATTGTTTGGAAGAAGTTGTAAAAATATTGTTGAAGATAAATTTTCTAAATAAAAAATTGATAGATGTATATTTTAACAATTATATAGTGATTTAAAGAGGACAGGTATTTATAAATTTCAATTGTTTTTTACCTTGTTTTAATTTTATATCAACTTCTAACACACTTACTATATGTTCAAACAACAAGAGTTTTCTCTAAATTATATACATGTGTTCAATCAATAAATATGTACTAAAAAAATCAACTGAATGATAATTATTGACTTACTTGAAATTTATCATCATCCATCAGATGAGTTTGGAACATCGTTTTTTTGAAGAAATTCCAAAAATCTTTATATTCTTTCCAAATATCATCTATTTCATTTATTTGACTATCAAAATCACTTGAAGAAAGAGATGACGACCAAATATTCTCAAAAGGTAAAGAACCCTCTTGTTGTAAAATTTGATTTAAAATTTTATGTGCTTTCAGAGCCATTCTATAATTAACCTTTTGATCATTAACCACCAAATCCATCAATTGACGAATATGTTTTCTACAAAAAAAAAATAAAGAATATAATTAATTAATTTATATTTATCCACAATGAATTATTTTTAATAGTTCAAAATCCAAAGAAAAAATTATTTAATACATACTCTGAAGGATTGTATGATTGATTATAAAAAGATCCAATCAAATCAATTGCTCCACTATCTAAATTTGAAATTATTGTTATTAATAGTATTTTCAAAAGAAAAAAAATTTGGTAAATTAATAATTACAATGATTTTCTTGAAGACAATTATCAATCATGTTTTGACAGGTATTTGGCATTAATAATGTTTTTTTTTTAGTTTTATTATTGGGATTGGTAGTTATTGAATTCAATTTTTCATAAATTTCAATTATTTCTGGTTTCGTAATAAGAACTTTTTCAGCCTTTTCCCAAATGCCATCATTATGTAAATTAACAATTTCGCCATTGTTTTCATCACTATTTTCTTTATTTCTCAATTTAGAAGGAGTAGATAACATGTAAGATAAACCATCCTAAATACAAATTAAAAAAAAAACCATACACGGGCAGGTAAACTATTTAAAAGATTTTTTAATGAAATTTGCTTTTTTTAAAAGAAAAGTAATAAATAATATAAACCTTTGATGTTTGATATTTTTTAATAAATTTCATTTTTTTTCCAAGTTTAAGTAAAAAAAACTAAGGGTAAAACGCGAATACAGAATTTCATTTTATGATGTGTACCCAATATCCAAAATCACTGGCGAAAATGGTTAAAGTAACAATTAACCAAACTTGATCTTGTGCAACTCGATTTTTACCTTTTTTTATAGTGCAGGACATCTATAACGGTCAATGATTATCGCACACTTTAAGAGCTTATAGCCCCTTATTAAAAAAGAAAAAGAAAAAAGTAAACCGACAGAATTAAAGCTAAAGACCTAAGCTTCATTTTCATCAGTTCACTTTTTTCATTTTATTAAAAAAGTTTTGAGTTATAAGACTTCAAAGTTAGGCCATTTTATATATGTTTATATGTAAGTTGGGGCATACTGCAACAAAACCTGACAAAGTGAACATTAGTGTTACCAAAATTTCAGGGTTCATTTGTAATGTGATTATTATTAATTATTTCTGTTAGTGAAATTTGCTTTTTAATTTAATTAATTTTAAATATACATACAATACTCAAAAGTTAAAATTTTTAAGATATTATGTGAGCCACACATCGGGTTTTAAAAAACCCACCACCATTTAATTCAGCTTTAAAAAAGGAGTCTATTAATCTAAAAAAAAACTTGTCTCAAATTTTCTTTCCATAAATTTTTTAAATGCTCAGAAGTGCAACAATAATTTTCGTGTTGCAATATTTCAGCACATGCGGACAGGGATAGTGAGGGGAAGTTGTACAAAATAGGCTTTATCCTATATTACCTCGCCGGGGGCATATTTACCCGGTGATAATCACGGATAATCACGGTGAATGTAGTGAATGCTCCGGATGATTTTAGCGAATTTTCCGTCGGAATTTGTCCAGCCTAGGGTTAACCTATTCCACCACGTCCAGGTAAGATAGGATAAGCCTTTCGGAGAATGTCCGCATTAGGTGCAATCGCAGACTTGTTCCCCAATTAAGGATTTTTTTCACGCTTTTATTATATATTATTGTTAACCAATGAAGTGATAATGAATAAAGGGGCAAGAAGATAAAAAAAGTAATATTTTTTTTCTAAAAAAAAAAAATCAAAGATAAATTTTGAGCAGTTCCGTCAAAATCAAAATCACGTGATGAAATACAATAACTTTGACACTCATATCTTTGTTTAATAATAATAACAATGATCAAATAGCAGTAGTGATGACTAAATTTTTGATCCCTGAATCTTTGGTAATACCAATGTTCACTTTGTCTGGTTTTGTTGCAGCATGCCCCATATTAGAAGTGGATAATTTCTTTCTGTGGAGCAATATGGACTCGGTGTGTATTAATAAGAAATTTTTATGCTAAAAAATTCTTGTCCTTTTATTTTCCAAACCTTGCATGTTCCTTTCATAGTGAACAAAAAAATTGTAATCACTATACTGCAGGGTTGGCCATGGTACTGTCCATTGATGGATTTTATTAATGGCAATGGGCCAGACCAAAACCCTATTGCCAACCCTGATATACTGATCCCTAAAAGTTTTTGAGCATTTTGGACAATTAACTTCAACATTTTCATGTATGTGTTTGTTTGTGCTTCATTCTGATTCTTTAACCAACCAATAAAATGACAATAGTTTAATAAGAATGAATATATACATAACACACCTGTGAATCATATTATCAATTTTTACTTCTAAAGTGAATCCAGGCAGGACACTTCCTCCTAAGTCTATATTTCTCCAAGGGTACTTGGTTCTACTGGCTTTGACTCCACTTTTTCTATGGTTTATTTTTAAGATTTGGGTTTATCCTCATTTGAACTGTACTTTCAGAGCATGAGAAAAAATATACATCTCTAAATTTATTTATCCATCACTTGGAATTTAGATGTTCCATACAGGGTGTTATTAACCTCTAACACAAGAATTTGAGTAAAATGAGCTCATTTGAATGTCTGTATCAAGTGACATACAAGTGTCTCTGAAAGTATATGCCACATTAAGAGCTCGGGCAGTCTTATTACACGAGATGTGGAAGTTAAACACTTCTTGTGAGGTTGTTATTGCACCATTTGCAGTGTAAAAGAATTCAAATTTCGCATATTGCTAATTCAAATGAAATATTGGTTGCCATGAATGACTAATGGGTGCGGCTCTATATTGTAATCTTGACTTGATCATATGTTTGCAGTAAATATGTTCATTAATTAAATTGTATAAAATTTGTAAAAAGCATATGCTGGAAAATATTAGAAATCATCTGATGAGTAATGTATTCATATTATAAGAATGGCCTCAATGAAAAACAGAAATGTTGTCGCTGTGTAAAGAATTCCTTTGAAATAATGCCAAATTATCAATAATCGCTTGTATTCTTGCCAACAGAGATGAGTTATAATAAATTATTGTGTGACTCAATGTTTCGCATGGTTTTTTTAATATGAAACTAACTGCCAACAATTTTGCAATATAAAGCTCATAAAGAAGAACATAAATCAAAGTAAAATTAGGAAGAAATTAGAGCACAGCAAAATACAACTTTTTATGCAAAAGGTGCTCATTGGTCATTTTCCAATTAAATTTTTTTAAAAAAAGGTTTAGTTTATATATTTTACATATAGAATAATGTGTGATTTCCCTACCCGCCACCTCTTCCATTTACAGTATATTTATAAGATAAATATAAAAGCAATACCATATCTACCATCTAAAAATATTATTTGTTTCTTGTTAGTAATTCATTGCAACTAGTTACAAAGGCGCAAGAAATAATAAGATCCTATCTTTTTAAAATTTTACCTGCGCATGATAATATGGCAAGCTTCCTTGAAACATCATCATTTCCAAAAGAAGATTATATATTAGATTTGAATAAGACTTGATTTGATTTCAGTTCTTTCTTATATTAATAAAGTCTTTATGTCTGGACTCCTTGACGAATAGTTATGAATAATAATTTCATTTATTAGTTATGTAAATATACATGTATGTAGTAACAATATAAACCAAAAATGTTCGTAATTGTCTGTTTATTGATGTCCAAATTAGGAACATCATGTTACAATACAATTATTTGTTTATTCGAATCATTCGTTTTATTCAACCATTCGTTTTTATTTTATTAGAGTCGTTCGTTTATTCGAATGATTTGTTTATTCGAATTATTTGTAGTGACGTTAGCCGGCTAAGTAATTTATCTGCTTACACAACTTACACGGCTTAGCTGGCTAAAAAAAATTTTTCTTAACATTCGTTTTTACGTCTGGAATTTTAGTATAGAATTTAGTGGCATAGACATTTAGTTGAGATGGCCCCTGCATGACAAAAAACATACATTTGCTCAAAAAGCAAAATCCAATATATCATCATAACAGGATAAAAGTCATAGAATTTATTTATTACTATTCGTTTTATTGGAACTATTCGTTTATTCAAATAAAACTTTCAATGTAATTCGAATACTCAAATTCATAACGAATAAAATAAATAATTTGAACCATTAAAGGCGAGATATTAACTATTAAATAAGATTCTATAGACTACAATAATTATATTTATATTTCTAAAAATTTGGGGGTGTTTGGATATGAAATTCTGATTGGCTAATTTGAATTTCACACATGTGAATTGTAAATTGCAAATTCACTTTTCCACGCACAACAACTACAAGGAAAATAGGTTTAAAGAAAAAATATTTAAATGGATTAACAATGTGCATATTAATATTAAATATATTATTATTATTTATTATTTCGAATTATTGGATTTATTCGAATTATTAATATTAGCTTTAGTATTAATTTTATTAGTTTTATCGTGTTATTTGAATCCTTCGTTTATTCGAATATTGATTGATACTATTTACCATTACTATTACTATAAAATCTTGTAAATGCACCCCAACGATCACAATCAAAAATCACGAATTAAGTTGCAAACTTTATTTTAAAATTCAAAAATAATTATAAAAAAAAAATAATAAAAAGAATGAATGATTGTAATTTTTTCAATGCAATGGCAACTCCAAGCTCGTTACAAAAAAACGTTAACAATAATTGTGATAATGATAAAGTTGTTTCAAAAAATAAATTTCTTAAAATTGATATTCACACGTAAGTTATTTCCTTTAAAAACTCACACTGTTCTAAAACATTGATTATTAACATTTAGCAACTCCCAACATTTTATATAAAAGTCATATACTTCCTAAACATTGGCCAGACCTAAAGAAAAAATACGGTTATGGTGGATGGATGCAATTGGATCATTATGAACAAGCAAGTATTATTATTGTTGTCGTTAATATTTCGATTAAAATCAATTAATTGGTTTATGCGTATTAGGGAAAAGCCAGAATGCTTCTTGATGGAAAAAATTTCCGTGAAGTTAAGTGTAATTGTTGGTCTGCTGATGAAAGAGTACGTGATTGTAATAAAACTGGAGTTGACGTACAGGTATGAACAAATTCCAAAAAAGGGAGGTTTTTCTTGGGAAATCATTTTTAATATATACATCATTTTTAGGTTCTTTCTACAGTTCCTGTAATGTTTTCATATTCAGCTAAACCACAACATACCCTTGATTTAGCAAGATATCTAAATGATCATATTGCACAAGTATGTGCTGAAGATCCAAAACGATTTGTCGGACTTGGTACACTTCCAATGCAATCACCTGAATTGGCCGCACAAGAATTAAGAAGATGTATAAATGAACTTGGGTTGGTTGGTATACAAATCGGTACTCATATTAATGATTGGAATCTAGATGCCCCCGAATTGGAACCTATATGGGAAGCTTGTGAAGAACTTGAGGCTGCAATTTTTGTTCATCCATGGGTAAATAATTAAGAGAATGAATGGAACGAGTTATTTAGGAGAAAAGAAAAAGAATCAATTTCATAGTTATTATTTTTTATAGACACAAACTTTATTGATTTATATATACATTATTATATTTAGGATATGGAAACTAAAGGAAGAATGGAAAAATATTGGTTTCCTTGGTATGTGTATATATATGCTTTTAAAATTATTAAATCAATCAATAATTAATCAACAGATACAATTATATAATTATTAGGCTCATTGGAATGGTAGGTTATTATTACAATATGTAAATTTTTCTATTTTAAAAATTTTACAATTAATTATCCTACAACAAAAAAAATTTATAATAGCCTTGTGAAACAACCATATCAATTTGTTCATTGATTTTTGGTGGTGTTCTTGAACGATATCCAAACCTTAAATTTTCATTTGCACATGGTGGTGGTTCTTTTCCTGCAACAATAGGACGTATAGTTCATGGTTTTAATGTTAGACCAGATTTATGTGCCACAAAAATAAAAAAAAGTCCACTGTATGTATTAGTATTATTATTTTTCTATTAATTTCGATGAATTAAAAATCAAAAAATTTATTTCCATTCGTATTTTAGTGAATACCTCGGTCGTATTCAAGTAGATTCACTTGTTCATGATGAAGATACACTTAAATTTCTAATTAAAAAGATAGGGATAAATAAAATAATGCTTGGTAGTGATTACCCTTTTCCACTTGGAGAACATCATCCTGGTAAATTAATTGAAAATTGTGAATGGTTAACTGATGAAGATAAAGAAAAGTTGTTAAGTGGAAATGCATTAAAATTTCTAGGACTTAAAGGTAAAGAAGAAATATTTAGTAGTAGGAATTAGGAAGGGCGGTTAGGTTTTGTGAAAGTGAAGTTTAATCATTCATTATAATAATAATTTTAATTGTTAAAATTAAATGTTTCTTTCTAACCATAAATATATGAATAAATTTTGATTTTATGAAATATTATTGTTGTTGTAAATCCACTCTATATAAATAAATTACTAGAAAAAATACATTATCCTATTTATCATATCGTTATCATTTATATTATTTGTAGTTGTTATTTGTTGTTATATTCAAAAATTTTTTTACCATCATTACCAAGATTCAAATTTTTTAATCCTAAATATGATAGCTCTAAAATATTTTATTGGAATGATGTGTTAGCTAATTCAATAATGATATTATCTGTATACTTACATATATGGCAATTAATAATTGTCAGAACCATATTTATTTATTCCATAATCAAATTGTTAAAATAAATTATTAATTAATTTACATAAAATATATATATACTGTATATATTGCAACATACACAAATAATGGAAAAATTAAGTATTAGGAGCAATATTATTTCTGATCGTTGATAATTTTCTCGATATTCTTGACACGTATATACATATATTGACCCCAGCTTTATTTGATAAATAAATAAAATGTTAAAAATGTAAAATCACGTGGCTGCCTTTTCACTAATCACACGATTTGTCTGTTTACTGATGATCAATCGGGATAATCGATGCTAATATATATATATATATATACACACAACAAATTTTATTGTAAAGGTAATTAGTTACAAGACATCATTTCAGGTGAATGTTATATACTTGGATGTGGTTAAAAGATTTGAACCCGATTTTGAGTTTTCATATCATTTGATCAATTATTCTGTAATCGTGTAACGTATTGTACCACCTCACAATACCTGTTAGAATTTTTTATTGGGGCATGTAATAAACAGATTATTCATTATATAAAGGCAAGCTCAAGTTTCTCCACAATGCTAACAAAAAAAAACATACCGTTTATATACTACCATAATATTCCTAATATTTTACAATGAGTGATAAAGAAACATTTGGTACTGGAGGTGCAGACGATGATTTATCACTTCCCAAAGGTATTTTATTTAAATTTAAAAAAATTTTTTTTTAATATTGACAAAATAATAATTGTTTCTTTTGACTTATCCAGCAACAGTCACAAAGCTTATTACAGAAATGCTTCCACCTAACATTGCATGTCCTAAAGATAGTCGTGATTTATTAATAGATTGTTGCGTTGGTAAATGGAATGCATGCAATCTACTTTTACATATTACAATATTTCATTCAATATCTTAAAAATTTTAATATTTTTTTTTTAGAATTTATTCGTCTGATTGCTTCTGAAGCAAATGATATTTGTGAGAAAGAAGAAAAGAAAACAATTGCAGCTGAACATGTGATTTCAGCGCTTCAAGTACGTTATTACATGTTATAAATGGAATACTCAAAAAATTAATATTCATATTATAAATATATTTAGAGTTTGGGGTTTGAAGAGTATCTTAGTGAGGTACAAGAAGTGTTTAAAGAACATAAGAAAATTCAAAAGGTAAAAAAGATTATATCCCGAATTGAAATTTTTTAAAGCACATACCTCATTATTTATTATAATAATTGAAATAGGACCGAGATAAGAAAAGTTCCAGATTAGAAAATTCTGGTATGACTGAAGAAGAATTGTTGAAACAACAAGAACTCTTATTTGAACAATCACGTCTTAAATATCAAGCACAACAACAATAATAAATAAATCATAAGAATAATAAGAATATTTATTAAATTAATTAATGGTTTTTTTATTTATAGAATAGAAGTTAAATAAGATATTTTTCTTTATACTTATTCTCATACTTAAATTCATTTGAGTTGAACCAGGGTTTTTTTTCTATTTTCTATCTGTTTTGTTTTTTCATAATAAATTAAATAAAATATACATACATGCCGGAAACATTAAAAATTATTTTTACATTACAATTATGCAGGGTGTTTGAGTACTTGGTCAATCAATAAAGCTCAACACCCGGATAATCGGTGAATAATCGGTGAATATCATTCGGCGGATACAACCACTAGCAAAATTTTGTGGATTAATCAAAGGGTATATATTTCTAGATACTTCTTCCAGGGAGTAAGTGCACCTTTATAATTTTCCCAAACACGGACCATTTTCTGAATGTATGATAAATTTCAAACTTATATATTAAATACTTCCTTCCATACTTTAAATTCTTTTATAAGTAGGTAGCTTGAGCCATGATTGGCAATAGACTATGGTGCATCAATCGGCAGGTTACACCCTAATTGATTCGCATTTGGGGGTTTCGGCAAGGTAAACACTAATTGTTTATCAGAGTTTCGGCAGTCATTAAGAGGTTTCGGCAAGCAACCTTACAATAGACCATGTCCATCAAAACCAACAAGTTTTGGTCTGGTCCATTAATAAAATACTAAATATTAAAACGTTACACCAATAAATCATTGCAAGTTAGTCACTTGTATAGTGCAGGACACCTAGTCCCACAACTTTTTATTGGCCTTGTAGATCCTTTTCTAACTCCAAAAATGGAAATCTA